CAGAGCGCCCACTGTTCCTATTACTATATTGTTTATTTTTAAAAAGAATAGTCACAAACATAAAAAGTAAATGCCAGTGACAGATGTGGAAGCTTTACAGGAGAATATTAGACGAAACGACGAAAGCGTCCCATTCAGAGTCGTGCCATCAGCAGTTCCGGTCAGACAAGATGAATTCCAGCGTATGAAAGAATGTTTCGTATGGAAACTCGCGTATAAAGAACAGCAACCGAAGAAAGGAAAAATAATCCTGAATGCTCTTCAGGGCACGGTAAACTCTAGCACAGTCAACACTCGCACATCACGCACTGCTAATGCCAGTGTTTGCAGCCAGCCTGGTCTACCAATCAGGATGAGCGCAGATTTTTAACTTTATAACACTAGCTAAACTTTGTTTTAAAAAAAACAACCAATCTCCTGAAGATTTTTTGCCGAAAAGTAGGCTTATCCCTTTGGGAAGACCAAGAGGAACTGGGAGGGACTTATAACTTGGGCAACAGCTGTCACTCCCATAGATGTACTTGTCTCAGGATGGATCAATTTCAAATGATTTCTCTGGGACACTGGTGCCTCTTTAAATAGATTACCCGAAGTGACTTTGCTATCGGACCAAAAAATAATGGTTTATTTTCACGAGGGATGCACTCTGAGGGGAGAAAAATGTTGTGAACTATACAGCAGAAGAAACCACTTTAGATAGGTTTTCGAGGAATTCTCTGCACAGCAGAACAAACAAAAACTTCTTGGAGACAATCAGAAGTTATCTTTTGTAATGAGTGTCGGCATGTACGAGAAGAGATGGTAGCCCCATCAACGAGATGTGGTTCACTAAACCCTCTAAGAAGTCGATTCGGAGCTGCAGGATTAACCGGAATGACCTGTCTAGATGGGAGCTTATCACACTGCTGATCAGCTACTTGTGGCTAAACAGTTAAGTGTTTAACCACTGGTCGGATAGTCGCGGGTTTGAAACACTGAGTTTCGTTAGATGCGTCCAGTGGATTTTCAACGAAAACTAAACAGCTTAGACTGCTTCTTGGCCTTTAAACATAGATTTCCTCGAATTCCAGGATGAAACCTCTATTAAACATTACGACTCCGTCTAAATTTCGGTGCAGATTTTCACCTAAAGCTTAAAATTTATTGGTGAGAGTTCCAATGATCTAAGGGGCCCATTGTTCGAGAGATCCTACTGTTTATTGAAGCCATTAAGAACATTGTGGCCCATCTACGTTTGGCCGGGACTGCACCGCTTTATCTGCTGTTGGGAGAGCTGATATTGCGCTACGCGCTTTGCGATACTTAACAAGTCCGAAAGCAAACTTGTGTGTGATCCTTTGGAGATTAGGGAATTACCACAACAGGATTAGTGACTCAACGATAGCCATGGGCATTTATATCAGTGTCTCGATAATGTTTGAAATTCTAGTAGTCCCCCAGTAGACGGACCGTTCGAACGGACAGAACAGTTTTTTCTACGAAGGCTTACACCAATAACATGCATTAAGCGACCGAACACAAGCAATATCTCCTGGCTGACTTACTCTCTGGGAAAGAACAAATGTCGCGTGAATGTTCCAAGTACTTTAAACTGGAGTATCCTCGGAAATAGGTGTTTTGCTGCGAAAATATTTATCCGCAACGATTCTAATGTCTAGCTGCAGCCGGCCAGATTTATGTGGGATCGCCGGTAGGTGCCCGACTATGGTAGAAAACCTGTGGTAACCGACGTGTAGCGACTACCAGTACTCGCAGGCATTGTGAGACTAAGAAGCACTCAACATTTCCTTGATACACGACCAAGGAACACGCTAATTCGTTAAGAAGCAACATGGTATGAAAGTAACGTTATCTTGTCACGTGACCAACTGGCTACACAAACACTCGCATCCGTATGAACCCCTTTGGCACAAATTTCATGATGGCGAATTATTATGCTAATGGCTCCCACATAGTCCTTTTCGTCCCGATAGACTTTGACCATTCCGGAGACACCTTGTATTCACACGGTATCCTGTGTCCAGTAAATAGGCCACAACGGGACGCCATTGTCTTATGCGGAAGCCGATAGGGAGATGCTCAGACACTCGTCTAGACAGTCGCTCTGTTGCTCGATCAATATTGCGGGCTTCACGGGAGTGGCCTCACGAGAAATTCTATCATTCATTCAGTGTTGACTGGTGGACGGTTAGTAAAGCATACCAGTACTTCACCAGTGACCATCTATGAAAGCAGGTTTCTCTGGTACACGCGAAATTATTCCGAAAGCCTAAGTTTCACGTTTGTCTTGAAAGATCTGTCTGGTTACTCATTTGTAATGCCTGAGTGGGTTATTTCGTTCTTTGGCGAGGAGTTCTCAAGATTGAACATAATACGAAAAGAACTGACTTGACAAGAGAGCCTCTGTTGCCACGCAGTCCACTTTCCGTTAAACAGGTATCATACATCCCGTGTAGATCCCAAAGCAAGTTCGGGCCAAAACAGGTATCTAAGAAAGTTAAATATCTGATACGTTATACTAAATATATCAACTGTCTTTCTAGCCTGCTTTTCCATCTATCCCGTTTTCCAACTTTTGTAATCCAATTCAGAGTAGATGCAATCTTCCTATAACGCTCTCTTCTGTCTAGGAGAAATCCGCCAAATTTATCGGATTAGGTGGTGATTATGTGCAATCATCCTTAGGTTGTTGATATGCCCCACGACGCCTTTGGAATTCACGTCACGAAATCTGTGGCCGAGAGAAAGTTCCCGGGAATGAGACGATGGGTCGTAGCGGTATTGTCTCTTCATGTGGTTTCGTGAGTCCGTAAAAAACTGTGGAGGTTGAAATATCTCATCAGTGGATCACAACACTCAGTCAACAATGTGATTCTGGGAGAAACTGAGGGACTTAAGCACTGAAGAGGATGAAATAATTGTTTCTCTTGATGCAAATGCACTGTTCACATCGGTGGACTTGGGCTTCATCAAGACTACTGTCGCCGAACTACTTGACAGACACGACGTGCCGAGCGGATCTCTAGAAAAAAACAGCATCTCTGCGACAAATACACTCATTTGCAAATCAATTTGGTTTTCACGGGAGACTCAACTGAACTCTCGTTTATGAAGTTCTTTAACTAAATCTGCTGCACAGTCAGCCCCATGTGTCCGTTGGTAAGATATTCGAGATATCGCAGTAATTTTCAAAAAGGAAACTATTCACAAGGTTGCCGAAAAACTGGACAAATTGCTCACTTATGTGTGATCACATATGTTGAGTTCAACGGAGAGTACTATGAACAATTACGAGGAACACCGATTTCCGGATTTATTACGAAAACTAGAACGGATTGTAATTCCCGATGCGATACATAGATGATACTTTTGTCATCATCAAAAAAGTGGTATGCAGTGATCAAGTCGACAAACAAACATCATTGTTGATAGTATCAATCTACAATGGAAGAGGCCGATGAGAAACTGACATTCTTATCATCACGGGATTCTCAATCGGACAACCGCAAACTGAATTCTACATATAGGCAACGCATACAGATCAAGTCTCAGCTACCACAGTAATCATCCGAGATGTCACCCGCGAAGCCGCATCCGGACTCATTTCAAGCGTATTGATACGCACTGCAAACCTATGAAGTCAAAAGTCAGAAACGAGACAACTGTACAACGCTTTTCAGGAAAATACATACCCTATAAACTTCAAATAGTGGGCTTTGGGAGAACCCGATTCGGCCAACTCAGCGACACGAGCAGAAGGTGAACGGGATACACCTCCACACATCAAGAATATTTCGGAAATGGCTGCACCGCAGTTACGACAGTACAACATAACCGAACTTGCGAGCACTCTAGAGAGAGCAGTATCAAACACAAAGGGACGATTGAACACAATGTCGAGGACCAGCGTCGTATACAAGATTCAGTGCGGAACTTGTGATAAACACTACGTGGGACAAACAGAATACATGAACATAAACTTGCAACTAAAAGGCAAGGCCACGTTCCACTCGTCTGCGTGCACGAAGATCAAGGTGGACACAAATTCGACTAGAGCACCATTCACATATTGACCAAAGCAAGAACAAAGAAAAAACGCGAATGCACGGAAGCATGGTACTCCATTGAAAAAGCCACTATCAAACACATTGAAATTGATCCAGTCTATGGACCACTGCGAGCAAAAGAACTACGGGACACAAGATCGCAAAACAAACCGGAGTGAACCGGTATAGAAAAGGCAGACAAACCAAAACGAAAACCAAGGGCAATAATTAACCTTTCCGGGCTAGCATCGAAGAAACATACAAAATGATTTAACAAACAGTGGAATCGAATTGGCCATCAAAACGTAACCTAATCGGTTGAACTTCCGTGCAACCAGCTAATCGAACCCGAGAATACGAGGCAACGATACAAACTAAAAACAGACCAATCAAACTGAAGGAAATTGACTACCATAATGAAAATCGCTATCACGACCAACTATAAGGCTGCTCAAACGGGCCAACAATATTGCTCAAAAGGTATATACCAATAACCAACCACAAGAGGATATAATTTATGCTTCAAGAACTTCATAAACGGAGCTAAATGGGGAGGAATTAGCCACTCAACTGTGCGCTGACGATGTCTCCTCGACTGAAGACGAAACGTTTGCAAGCCAGTTGCCAAGCTCCACTAACAGATCGACGACCATTTGATCAACCACAAGTAATCGCACCCGCATTACCAATATTTTGACTCCAACAGTTGCCAAGCCCACTAACAGATCGACGACCATTTGATCAACCACAAGTAATCGCACCCGCATTACCAATATTTTGACTCCAACAAGCTCGACGCTGAAGTGTTCGGAGAATTCACTACCTCGAAGCACTGGGGCTTTTGTTTGGTTGAACGAACTGATCGTGTCAGTCTTGCACACAAGTTCTATGGTGAACACACCAGATTGTAGCCCATGTTGAGGAGAAAAAGACCAAACTATTCTCAATCAGGACCGGTTATTGAATAAACTGATAACGACAAAATAATCAAAGCTCTCATCGACGTCGTGCGCCAATCGTTGACCAACATGATAAATTGAGCGAATCAGGGAGCAAAGCATAACTAGAGAAAGGAACTGATAAAATTCTTACATGATCTGATGTTGCAGTTATCACAAATGGAGGACAACATTGGGTGGGGAATACAACGTTTCATCAAGTCAGTTGGAACTTCATTCCAGGGTACACCCATGTGCCAAAGAGAAGGATGGAAGGTTTCGGACACACAAAAGGGGGATATTCGCACTTCAGGAGGAAAGAATAATACACAGTTGGAAGATGTAACGAAAATCGTGTACGGTAAAATGCAGTCAAACAATACATACCGATAATCAGAATAGACCGTATAAAAAACAACGGAGCAATGGTAGAGAAGACTAAGAAATCACAAAGCTCAGACTGAGGATCAGGCGGGAACAGTTCAGAAGACGGCAGCCAGACAGTCGTATCACCGTTTCAAGTGCTATACAAATGAAAGAATGGGAAGAATGTTGCTTTAAGTTAGATGAGTGCTCATTGAAAACTTCAGGTCATGAATCTCAGTTCAATATAAACTATTGCTGACAAGTCTTTTTCAACGGTTTACACCACACACTAAACGTATCTCGAAAATATAGACATGGATATACACATATCGTGTGACAACTTTAGCAGTGATCATTGCTGGTAGGTCACATTAACTGATACCTCTTCTCTATTGGAATGCAACTCGTCTCCTCCACTTCCAAAAACGCGTTGGAATAAACGTGATGAGTTTTCATACGCTGAACTGTTAAAGACAACTTCCGTCAGAGCATAGGCTGGTACTTCTTGTTGGATGTGGAAAGTTGAATGTCCGAAAAATCCACTTGCTGAAATACCTAACGTGAGAGACTCTAAAAAATAGGTGCTCAAAGCCAGCATAGTGGTCGAAGCAAGTAGGCGGTTCGTTCACTGATCTGGTTGATCAGTTAGACGGTGGTGGTCGGTTAAATTTGTCGCAGACATTTATCATTCATTGATTGTGACCCTTACTAAGCTGACTACAGCTTCACGATAAAAAACCTTCGTGGCAAAGCACTCATCCGTGACATTACCTTTCGCACATTTGCTCCTCATAAGTACTAGTGAGTTTTAGCAATCCGAACTTAATCGAGGAAACCGATAACCACTTGGTATAACCATCTGGAGAAAGTGGATTATTTAAAGAGAAAAATACTTAGGAATGACCAATATTCCAGCAATTTTACATTCCACACGAGCTGCGCGAATCCCATCGTCCCCAAAGAAGCCGAAAACAGCATAGATGGATGATTTTGTGGAGTGGTTTACCTCTAAGTGTGAAGAGCTATCCGCAGATGAGCTAAGCGTCCTTTCAAAATGTTCTGTAAATGGCAAAGTGTGATGTGACCAGGAGTGAATTTCGAAATCCTATTCCTCCATGAATACTTCAAGACCAAGTTTTCTTGGTCTCGTGTTGTCGTCTATAAACGTAAAGTATTGTTATTTCCAGAATCCGCTCAAAATGTGTAGAATAAGCAGAAATATTGTTTCACTCTTGCTCCACATTTTTCTCGTGATGAATAGTGTGCGCCTCTTGGCAATAACGGATGCCTAGTTCGACTATCACCCTGAACGCCACATAATTGACCTACTCAGCTAATTAGTTCGGGCTCTCGCGCGCTAAGTCGGCGCGCTTTACATGAAGGGAAGATCTCCTGCGGTTTTGTTAGTATGCACGATCAAAGGGCCCTAGTGAAGTGTGGGCCACTCCCTAGCTACTTAAGCATATGTTTTGAAATTTCTACTTTGTTAAACTCATGGTTGGTAGACGAGAGAGTTCTCCACATAACTCGTGCAAAAAGAGGAAATTGCCTTTTGGAGTGGACAGCACTTGGAGACTGGAGTATTGGCAAGTCCAGACGAAAGTGTCACGTCAGGCAATAAGGGGCACAGAGCTCTTTAGTACATGTATGCGAAGTGTGGGTCAACTCAGCCTCCATTCCAGTGACAAAAACAAGCACAAAGGTGGATTTGTATGGTCGACGAATTCACCAGTTGATTGGGATTTGTTGCGGTAAATATGCATGTGTTTTATCACTCACGAATTAACAAAATTTACAGATTAGGAGAGGATTTAACCGGAGTTCACAGATTTTTAGCGCCGCTACATGGGGAATAGACTAGATTTACCAACATACCGACCAGATTTAAAAAGTCTTTCAAAATTAGGAAAGCTATTTGACTGCATCAGAATGTGCAACATACTATAAGGCTTGTAATTTGTCGCTCACTGTTTCGGCGTATAAGTACAGGGTTGTTCACCACAAAATAAACAGCTACTCTACACACAAAGCTAAGGACGCCAAAATTTTGAAGCAACGAATCACCCAAAAGACCACGTTACAGAGACCAACCCGCAAGAAGTTTTGCAATCGACAGTTACAGCTCGCCACAGTGGGCAAGAAACAGCAGTAAAGCAGGTGAGTTATCAGAGAAAGTGAAACACCGATAGCTAATACTGTATCAGTAAAACACATGGTCGCGAGAACTTTGGTTAAGCCGGTCCATATATGCGGTTTTGTCTGGTACAACTTGTCTCATCTAGAAATGGACGGTATAAACCAGGGGAGAGAAAATAGAGCCACAAAAGGCTTTTGTGGAAGCATACGGCTCTCTAAGGAAGAAAAACTTTGTCACTAACAGATAGATATAGAAGTTTCATATCGCGACTCGGATGGATATTCGTGACAATGATGCCCCTCACTTAATCAGCCACAGGGCATTCTCCACATGGAAAGAGATTTTGCGACCTAAGTATTCGTACATCAGACTCAAGCATTAAGTGATTAGACCAATACACTTTCAAAGTGGGCTTAAAATACTGTGATCAGTAATTGAAACAATAAGAATCTGACTCACATATTTCTGCCGGATCTTTTCCTCGGCCAGATGGATACTAACCCAATACACCAATCCACCATACCGGGGACCGGCGGAGACAACCGTGTATAGTGATTCCGGATAGCCATCGTTCGCAAAACGTTTTGATGCCTCCTTAAGTAGGCCGTATCTGTCAGGATGAAAAGAGCAGCTGTTTATAAGGTGCCAAGAAAGATGTAGACATCGAACAAGCATGGAAGCTATTGAGAAGTAGAGATAAACAGTTATGGAATATCAAAACATTACACCCTGAAAGTTTGGCATTACACACAACTTCATGAGGTCTTGGCGCCACGAACTTTCTAATTTTCCAAAGCATGAGCAATCTGAGAGGATCAACAAAGAGTAAATCCGATGCGACGCAAGTACATACCCAGCTAATACAGCAGGACCGTTCAACATCTAGCAACAAATCACCCAGCTGTCGATCAGTTTGATCGACTCTTGTGTGCAGATGCCGGATAAGTGTCTCTCAGAAAACCGTGCAGTATCTGAACACAACAGTGAAGATCGTCGAGAGTTGGTAGTTCTCTGCTCTTTTGAGGAACAATACTTTTACAGCAGTCGAATGTTTGAATCACAACTTCGGCACGGGGGACATTCATCTCTGTTTCATAAAGAACCATCAAGATATCATGCTTAATCAAAATAAAACAAGAGTTTCATACACATTCAGGAACACTGATTTAGCCCGTAGGAGTAGCGAGATGAAAGGAAACGGATACAAAATCACTCAAGGTCAGATGATAGTGAAGAAAGTAAAAACGCCAAAGAGATCCAGACAACTTGGCTCACACCTATCGATCACCGTGCTCGTTTTAGTAGGTTCACAGAACTCCTGTCAGCGATGAGATCATTCCCACAACTAACCAAGTCATCTGGTCGAATTAGAGTTAACATCAGACGGGAAAATGCCAGACAAGGTATCTTCCTTATTCGAAATTTGCATTAGGACATTGTTCGTCAACGATATAAAGGCGCACATAAAAGTAGATACGCAAGGGCAAACTGACAAAACGAGGAATAAGCGTGCAGCAGAGGCACGATGCATTTGCTTGATGAAGAACAAATGATCTCGGAATGAAGCCTAGAAGTTCAGTAATGAGCAATGTCTTTGAGAAAATTAGGCGAGTGACATTAGGAAACACTCAGTGTATGCAGGATTCTTGCGTATAAATCCACATGGATGCTGCGCAGTAGGCATCTTTCGAAGGCTGTTACCCACTTCAGAGTACGATGAGCGGGGACCAATCTCAGGGAATAACTCAAGCAGCTTTGCACAGGTATTTATGCCTTTCATGTAAGCTATCAGCAAAGAAGACTGGGTGGTACCGGAAATTGATAAGAGCCGAATGCACCGTTTCTTTTTCAGTGAGCCGAAGAAAATGGTACGGAGCAATACAATAATTGGGCAGCTGAATTGGTAGTGCAAAGAAGGGGAACAATAGTCCCAACTAATACAACCTTCAAATTTCCGGGAAGATGGTATAAACGTATTTACATCAGGCCAATTTAGAATAATAAAACTTGGATGTATCTGTCATTTAAGTTAACGAAATAGGTGAAGCGACGATGGGGGAAATGTCCTCAACTCGGCGGAAGCGGTTTCAGTGCACGTGGAGGGCTCAGATACAGTGCAATATTGCGTGCCCGTAAGAGCGCACCTTTCATATCGCCTTTGGGCAAGTGGACGTGTGTTAGTGGAAAACATACTGTGTTAGCGCCAACCGTATCAGCGCTTACCGTAAAATCGCAGTGATTATGAATATTGAAAGAGTGAATAATAAACGTGATCAAAACCGATATTTGAAAAACGTCATAACGAGCCGTTGACAATTTTTTTACCACAATTTGAAACTACTGTGAAAACAGATGAGTGCGATATGAGGTCATCCGGTGTAAGCCCCGAAAATTTCATGGGAGAACGAGTTTACGACCAACTGAATGCAAGACCGATGAGATAGATAGAAAGCACTTTGTCACAACATCCAGTGCCTTGAGAATCGTGCAATACAGGCGACCTGCAACAGCGGAAGCAGACGCAAACGCAGGCAAATTGATATGTTTCACTGCATGTTTTCAGTAGTGACTCAAGAAAACTAAGCGAAAAATTCTCAAGTAGCCCCAGTAACAGAATAAGGATGCTTTTTTGCATACCGGTTGGGCAGGTTTACGATATACGAGTTTCCCTTGAGTAAGACCTGCTACAACAGGTGACACTGCAATATCGAATGCTGCACTGACGATTCGTGCGTGAAGATCCTCAGCAGAATACCAGTGTAACGCCGCATACTACTGATGAAGCGCGCGAGTAGTCTATGGTCTGGTGCCCAAGCTCTGCCCTCGAATCTGTTGGAAGGTGAAGGTTACCATGGGACTTATGGAACCGCTTTTCTGTATCCTTCTCTTGTTGTTTGACAGTCAATAAACGTTCAGGAGAATTCAAGAGAAGGGATGAGAATGTCCGCTTTTCAAAAACTCAGTGCACATGAGATATTCACTTTCGTGTATAGTGGCTTGTAACTGCTTAGTTCATGTTTGCTAATAAACAACTTCGCAGCGAAGGGCTTTTTTCTTTTCACTAGTACCAAGGGAGAAGATTAGGAACCTCAGTGAACAATCCTATTGTGGACTATCACACCATATGGTTTATAGTGTACACAAATCTGATAAACATATATTTGTGTGGTGCACTACTCATAAGGTTGCTGAAAACTCCTCGACAGACCACGACCGGTTTCACTCTTCTTGGGGCTCATCAGGTAGGCGCAGTCCCCTAGTTTCCATCAACCTTATGTTCTAATTGCACGAAATTGGCGAAATACACTCATTTGATAATTAATACATCACACACTGATGAAGTTTTCATGACCGAAATCAACCGATGGTAGTCTCGGTTCAACATTACTGTCTGAAGAGTAACGTGGTGTGCAAACGCTATGAACCCACCCGGTGTTTCTTATTCCTTCGCTTTCATTCAAATGAGAAAGTTGAATTTCCAAAGCAGCTCAGTCAAAGCAAGTGTTCGTTGAATTTACGACTAATTTTACTTAGTGAACAGAGAACTCCTAAATGATAACCTTGTATACTGATCGTCAAAAACGCTATCGAGTCAATCGACTGGTCTCTTTGATCGATTTTCCTGATTTGCATTTGACATTCACGATGGTTACGAAGTCAATCCGTAATGTTGTTTTCCACATCAAGATTCACATGCATTGATTTATGCTTTCGATAACAACATTTAGTCAAACTTCGTCGAAGGTTAGCATGTGGATCTACGTATCGCTGATGGGGTGCCAAAATAGGCTACGGGTTGAATGGAGATTTATGGTAAGACTTCAAGAAACGCCGTGAATGAACTGGAACTTGTTGAGGGTCGTAAACAGCCGGATAATGAGTATACTGTTTATAGAACGAAGGCTTTGAGGCGTGTCTACAAGCTGGACGAACTGTATTTTATAGCCTGGAATACAGATGAAACGGAGAGCCATGTAAGTAGGTCATGACCTATGGATGCAAGAATGAAAAAATGGATGTCCAGTGATGATAAAAGGTGAAGCTGGAATTGTTCAGATGGCTTAGCTCGCAATTGGAATGGTATCGAGAAACCGGAGGAAATGTATGGATTTTAGTCCCAACCTAGATCAAGACATGGTAGGTAAGTGAGAGACGGAAATCATAGTTGATTCGTATATCCGAATAGTTAAACACTGCCTAGTTCTGTACTTTTGCGCAGAGCAAGTAGGAAAAATTAAACGATGACAATGTGTAATGTCTGATTGATGGAGCCGTCGTTTCTTTCTCACTCTATCGAAAATTTGACTATCAGACTATCTTGCACAAATATACAGAAATAAACCCGAGAAAAAACCCGTGGGAACTAACACGATATCATGATCATTTCAAAGATCGAACAGTTTGAAGAGAGGAATCGCGGGCGTGAGACGAACTTTGAGGGCGAAATTTCTGCACCAACTAGAAATTACGCAATATAACCTGAAATATACTAGTTTGCGTTTCGGTTGCAATGGACGCTTAGCTTCTCAGCACACCAAACGCTGTGTATTTCAAATCAAAATTGAAGAATAATCCAGTGAACAGCTACTTTCAGTGTTGTTTATGCTGTAAATTTGAGTTTTACACGGTGAGGGGAGAAAAACTACAAAAAAACGTGTGGTATAAATTACGCCCACTATGTTGACAAAATAACGAGCAACGGACTATGGAAATCCTGTGAGTACTTCCGGGGAGACCAGTCCCCAAGGGGAGCGAAATATAACAGGACCTGACGCAGGTACAGAGTATGTTAGCGATATGCATGTTTAGCGCTCAACTCTCCGGGGCCGCGTTCGCTGTTGTTGTACAAAGGTCAGGTGTGCCGAAAATCACATGATAAAAATGAGTACAACGAAATGACAAATATCGTGAAAAGTACAAAACCCAACGTGAACAAGATTAGACGAAACGGTAAGCAAACAGTCAGATTAGAATTAGTACGAACATAATCCAAGGATTCGCAAGCTCAACTTACATGGACTAGAGCGGTTGAGTCCTACCCAAACAAGTAACAGGTGAAAATGTAGCAAGTGAAACCTGGAACGAGCGTGCTGTAAGTTCTTTGTTGATTGCTTACAAAAGACGCTTCGTCACGTTCGACGAGAGACCTATGGAATAGCTTCATGCAGGCAAATTAGCTACATGGGGTTGCGTCATTACTACACGCTGGCGTCAAGTGTCTGTTTAAGAATAAGAACCGAAAAACCGAACAGCTGTTGAACTTCGGACCCAACACAATGAATCTAATGATGATCCGCACTACGCAAATGACTGAGGTTTCAAGAACAAATATGGTACAAACAATGACCACTTAGGGACAACAGTTGAGAAGTGTCTAAGATACAGCACAACCTAACGGCATTCGCTGCTTGATGCCCAATTCATAGTTTGGTTTCAAGGCAAAAATAAGTGGAAAATTAGTGCGGATTATGTTGACATCGAGAAACAACCGGAGTAACATGTGACTGGAAACTAACTGAGTAGTTTGGAAAACAGGTGAACTGCATCTCGGTAGGCACACGAAGATTACGTAATTTCAATCGACGTATCTATCGTACAGTATGTTTGCGATATGGAATTGTGCGAGAAACGGCAATGTGTAGCCCAAAAAGTAATACTGTTCACAACCCAAATCAGCTAAAATGGATACACTGAGCACAAACGTTTGTCACGATAGTCACTGGATCCATTAACATTGTTTGCGTAAGATACGGCAATCACAGCACCTTTGCCGCGTGAACCTACTCACACCAAACGAAAGATGCGTAAAGAAAATCCAAAGCAACATGTAACATTTTGTATTTTAATCAGTATACAAGCAATACGGGTTGGGTTTAATTGGTCAGAGATGCTTTTTGAGATACTTTGCAAATCTCAAATTAAATAAATGAAGTGGTGAGAAAGCTACTTTGCTATCATTGAAGAGTAATAGAGAAAGGGGTCATGTTGTGGGAAACCTACGGGGGTCATCTCTCGGTACCGCCAGTAAAAACTTGAGATAGGTTATCATAGATTTCACTCATTGAAATGGTGCAAATGGTTATTCCTATAATGCCTACAAATGAAAAAGAAGATGGAATCAGCCTCGCATTACATTACGTAGATAGCCGGGATTCCTCGCCATCGTTTTTGGAACTATATCCCCGGAAGGGACCACAGGGATTTCGACAGGGGCAATCTTTCTGACCGAGTGTAGTCAGTAATAGGGAATGTGATGGCATAGCGCGTATCACACTGCATTCATTGCGTAGTTAGAAAACCGGCAGACTACAACATGAATTATTCGAAAGCAAACTAACCTAGCCTCGTTTTTCTCGTTAAGCTTTTCGCTAGAATGTTTGATCATGGTGTATCTGGAAACCTGGTTCGAGTGTCGAAAGATATAATAGCCGGCATGACGTACGCGACCAAACATATCGTCATCCTCGCCACCCCAACCAAAGTAGACGTTGGAAAAACCACGTACACGAACGAACTGCTCCCTGCTGAAAGCCACAGCACCTCCGAATAATTGTTCATACAGTAGTCTGTAAACAGTAGAAAAGTGTGTTGAGCGTGAATCGACAGAGGTGACAAGTCGGGGTGCCAAAATAACGGGCGGAATAAGTAGATAAATCTTTGAAGTAAAGCAAAAACACCACACTTGACTTTTCAAAGACTAACGAGCAGATTTCGTAAGTGCAAAAGGAAGGTGACGCTGGGTTGCTTTCACAAACCTCTCAGCACTCGACCACAAACTGTCAGCCAACCACACATAGTAGTTCGAACAAACTCTCTTCTGAGGTGTTTGTAATCAAAGAGGCCATGGGTTTTGAGAAGTATATAATTCAGCTAAGATAAGCGGTTTAAATCAGTCCGCTTCTTGTGCGGGATTCTTACAACGCATTACCCGGTTGGTCTTGCCACCTGCCAGCATAAGAACGAACGATGTTCATTCTTAAATAACAAAAATCCTGGCTGAATAATGGTTTTGGGACAGCAGTTAAGTTTGAACTAGTCAAATAGGTTCGCACAAAATAGACAGATACAAATTTTAATTTTTCGCAGCGCTCCGCTGCCCACGTTAGAGCACGAGACTGCGAAGAGAATATTCAGACATCGTGCTTGGATTATAGTGGTGACCCCGTGGCGGTGGTTGTAACAGTGTTAACGTTGGCACAAAAGAAACCAAGGCGGATGCTCAAACTTCATAAACCGGTATTCACGTCACTTCCATTTTTCCTGGTACAATTATTCTGTGAACACGCTGGCCTATTCAGATGGAAAAAATGGGGTGCGTCCTGTGTGTGCTGGGGTAACATCAGCAACACAGTCACTCTGCACATCAGAAATCCGGGGTTACATCCTGACAGGACCAAGGATATACGGAGCGAAACTCGAGTCAAGTGCTTCCGGTCTGTGGTGTGGACTCAGTATAATATTTGTGCTAGGACAAGAGGAGATATGTTAAAACGAGAGTGACCAGTACAAATCATAGAAATCTACGAGTAATAGCGACACTTGCAGAAACATAGAACCAAAGGTAAGCAATTGAGTTAACCAGATTATAACATACCTGTAACCGAATTTGTCGACCGCTACAGAAAGATGTATAGGTTGTTTACCACACTGATAAGGGATGCGGTCGTCTTGTGGTAGGAGGTCCACATCATGGAAGATAAAGCAATCAAAGTGTGCAACGCGAGTGGATTCCAAGAAACCAATGTTGAAAAGAGCGGCGCGATTGAAATGTGTTGTGCCTAACTAGAACCAAGGGAGTAGATGAAAGTTAGGAAAGGCATAGAAAGACGAGTGAAACAGAGATGCAGTAAATCAACCAACGAGGAACATGACTGGTGGTTGCACATAACTGAAAAATGGAGTTATACTTGCCCATAATAGGGAGAAATCCGTGACAAAGGTGAAATGAATTTACTGTCCGGTTAGACAAAGTAAAAATGGGGAGTTAAAGTTATGGAATTAACTATGAAAAAAGCCTTCCAAAAGAATGCAAGGTTGGAACGCATGATACATACGTTTCTAACGGATGCGCGTATATATATATATATATATATATATATATATATATATATTGTTGAA